CTGTATTGCTCTTTCCTTTTGTTGTAGCCTTTGCGAGGTCAGCAAATGTCCCAAGAAGGATACTACAGTGAATTGCAATTTCATATTGGATTTATTCAATTTCAGATACTTCCCCGGCACTTTCTAGTAGACAAGAGAGGTTCTGGTCATGATTACCACAGCTTCTGCCACGCTGTGTCCACGTTGGTATGCTAGAATATCATCAGCTGTGATACTGATCCCTGAGAGTCCTGTTGGTATGTATTGCTAACAACGTTGATTATTTTCCTGCTGGAGGTTGGATCCCAAGAGGCATTCTCATTCATCTGTATCTACCTGCTGGTGTCCAATGTGCAGAGAGATGCCAGCTTTCTTTATCCAGTACTGCTACAGGGATGCTACACTGCATTGGCTGCTCTGGATATGTTGTTTATTTTGCTTGTGTGTCTATTTTGTGAAATGTTTGTCCCAGGAGGAGTGTCAGTAATTCCAGGAACTAACTTTCAGCTGAAAACAGGGTTTCCTGTATTGTATGTTCTACCTCAAATTTCAGCCTGTATACTTTTTCCTTGGTATTCTTTTTGTAATTTACACTGTCTTAGTGGCATTGCCATCATATAATTTTAATTTGACTTTTCTTGGTTGCAGTTTTGATTTTTTTCTCCGGCATAATGATGAGGAATTCTTTGTAGCTTAGCATATTCACTAATGGCCCACTGTGTATTTGGCTTTCAGTATCCTATTTGTGTGCTGCTGTCTTGTCTTTGCATGGGGTGCTAGTCTGAGCATTATAAACCATTTATTTTTTGCTGGTTTGCAGTGCATTAATGTCATACGTGCAAAATCTGATGCTCTGTCACTGATTCCTTGATATGGTGCAATTTTTTTTCTTTGCTTTTCTCATCAGGAAGCTTTGGCATAATGATTTCTCTTGCCACAATTATTGTATATGATCCCCCCTTATGTAGGGCATTTTTCCATATTCATGTTTTTCTCTACAGTTACCCTTCCTCCCCCCACTCCCCGGTCTTCCTTTGTGTTTTGTTTGTCTCCTCTACTTTGTATTTGTACACTTGCTTTAGCATGAATGTTGGTATGTTTCTTTGTGTTTTACTACTTTCCCTGTGCTGCTTGGTAAATTATCTGTGTGTCTGCTCCACTTATTCTCGGCATTTGGATATGAGTTTGTTCACTAGCTTTGCACACATCTATAGCTCTTGGTAGAGTTATTGAGGGCTTTCTAGGCATTCACATTCAAGCTTCTGTATCTTTCATCCCTATTACTAATCTATCCCAAATTTGTTCATCTTTTAATCTTTGATAATCAGATGAGTCAACTGTTGTCCAGTAGCCTGGCAATTTACTGATCTATTGTTTCTCCAGATTCTTAATCACAATTGTTGAAGATACTTTTCATATACAACATTGTTTGTGGCTTGAAAATTCTTTTGGGGGCACCTCTAGGATTTTACACAGGTCTTCCTGGTCTGCTGCTGATGTATCTAGATGCTGTTGGAGCATATGTCAGCCTTTGTCCATTACAATGTACAGTGTGGCTGCTGGCTGTTTTTTTTGTTTTGTTTCCATGTTGCTATTCTGTAGTTTTTTCATTGTGGCCTAAAGAATGTCCAATTGCTAAACACATCTTCTTTACGTCCATCGGCTCAGGGACATGAATCTGGTATGCTGCTACGATTATTGTTTAATTTCTGTGGTTTTGTTTAGTTGGCTTTTTTGTTTCTGATTTCCTGTGCCTGTAGGCGCCGACTCACTTCTGACACCATGTTCAGTGTTGAAGCATAACAGAGAGAAAGCCAAGACACTGCAATATTCAGGTTTGAATCCTTCCTCCACACATACAGTCCTCTCTCATCAATCACTTTCGGAAAGTAAAATTCTCTACATTCTTAGAAATTATCATATACATACAATATGATAGTATGTTTAACACCCCTTATTGGGAAGTTACCTATTGTAACACTCTCTTTACAAATTATAGTTTCCATTATATAGTAGTTATAATTATAGTTGCTATTATCACACTGATATTGACACTTCTTCCCAAAATAGCTTTACAGGACATCTGGAATAACTCTAATTCCTCTTTCTTATCCTCTCACTACAATTCCCTTAGGGTAATGGAGAACCAGTTTCCACACTGGAACTTACATTTCATTTGTCAGCTTGTGTAGGACTTAACCTCCACCTAACATGTAAACCACTATCCCAATGGAGGGTCTTCTTTTCCCAAAGAAGGAGGATATTCTCACAGACTCTTCATTAAATCAGTCAATACTCACTAGCTTTTATGATGTCTTGTACTGTCAAGCCTTCCAGATACACTCTAAGCATCTGGTCCAGCACTTGAATTTGTGCTAACAGAAGACATCGATTCCCTTCTGCATATATGAATTGAAATACAAACTTTATATTTTTTCTTCTTTGTACGATGCTTTTCTCTGTGTTTAAAGTGGTCTGAAAAGTGTGGGTGAGATCTCATTACCCCATCTGCCCATTCTTCTGTCCAGCAATTAATTCTGTCACAAACTCCAAATCAATCCTGTCCCCCAAGTCCTCACACATCAGTTGTGACCCCACATTTGTTCTGCCTCTCTTGCAGCTCCTGGGGTTCTTTACTCCTCTCCTCAGGCCTGGGAAGGGGCTTCAGGGGTTCTTTACCCCACTCTGCCCCTTCCCAGGCTAGGTGTTTTAGAGAGGAAGGAGGAGCAGAGGAGCCATCTCATTGCTCACTGGGAGAAGGGAGTGGCACCACCCTGAGCTGCTAGGTGTGGTTGGCTGCTCTTCTCACCAGCAAGTGGGGAAAACAGCCAAATTCATTGGATAAGGTGATTTTGGCCCCTGCTGGAATCATTACTTACTTATAATCCTGCTTCTCTCAAGGTGTTGTGATGAATCTGTGAGCTTCTATAGGGCAATGTTAACTTCCAGCACAACATCCTGCCACCGGACTCCATACTTCATCCAGCATGGGGAAGAGAGGGGATCTGGCTCAGGAGGGAGCCAGAGGATGCATTGACCAGGAGCAGTAGGTCAGAGGCAGCCTGTGGAGAGAAGGCATGAGCTGGGAGAGAATGGATAAGCAGCAGCCTGTTGCAGGCAAGGGGGCTGTGCTAGCTCCCTTGATAATTGAATACTTGAGAATACCTGCAAATGGGGTTGCAAGACGGAAAGAACTGAACTCTGACTGGGGGACTGCAGGGCAGTGTGTGATTACTTCCTTCAGGGAGTGTCCCTGGTGCTAGGCATGAGGAGCTCTGCTTTCATATCATGGGATTGGGAACTATTGTGTGTTGGGTTTTTGTCTTTTACTTGGATAAACATTAAAACAAACATACAGAGTATTGGATTGTTTATAGTGGGCAGCCCCACAAAGGCAATCCTTTGTTGTTCATGAGACTTTGAGTGTATCTCATCATGGGCTGGAACCTTGAGAGTCTAATGCCTATAGCACTTGCTTCGGAGCATGTTCTACACCCAACACACTACCAGACATCAAGGAGCCTGGTGTACCACAGTGAAACCTGTAGTGGGATTGGTCGTGGTGTCATTTGACTGGGCTCCTCCTTCACTGGGCTCTGAACTGCACCAGAGACAGCACCTTAACTCCCCTATCTCTTAAAGATTCCTGGCCTGCTTCATTCTGAGACCAACTGCCCCTGGCTCAGTGCATCCAGAACATTCAATTTCAGTTCCTTGAGGAGCAGGAAACAAAGAGCTCCCCAAATGCTAAGTGTAAAGATGTCCAAAGAGTGTGTATAGAATAGGGCCATAATGTATATTATTCAGAGAAGCAGTATAGCTAATAATACAACTGAGTGCTTATATAGCACTTGTCATCATGTGCTTTACTAAGGAGATCAGTATCATCATCCCCATTTTGCAGATGGGGAAGTTCACACACGGTGTACTAAAGTGACTTGCCCAAAGTCACCTAGCAGGCAGTGGCCAAGCCAGTAATGGAACTGAGGTCTACTGAGTCCCAGTCTAGTGCTTTATCTACTGAGCTAGAGTAGGGGAAAAGGGATGTGTACATGGACCTGTATGCCAGTGCTTCAACCTTCCCTACCCCATTAGGGAGAGTCCCTTAGAGAGTATTGTAGAGAAAACTCTCATAAGCTCACTAGTGAAAGCAGGAGGCAAAGTCCCCTTGGCTGGATTAACATGCACGGTATCCTCAGCCAGTGATAAACCGCAGATCATCCACAGACCGGCACAGAGGGGGCAAAACGGACCTAACTCCCGTTCATTCAGCCCCTGCCAAGGCCGCCTGGCCCTGCAGGTGGGGACACGGCTGCCAATCTCTCTTCCCCTTGGACAGCAGCAGGGAGCTAGATGACGTTGCCCTTTTAAGAGCAGCCCTGTCGTGTCAGGCCTGTGACGTCAGAGAGCGCAGAGCCCTAGTCCCTGCTGCCTCTGTTATTGCAGCCAAAGGCTGGGAGTAGCAGCAGCGACAAGGGCAGCTCTGGCTGTGCGAGGGGCTTCGCGCAGTGCAGCTTCCCGGGTGCGTGCGGGGAGAGCGCTGGAGCCCCTTCCGCAGAGCCTGGCCATGCACAGGGATTCAGCCGCCGCCGCCGCCTCCACCAGCAGGAACTTTCCTGGCGGGAGCCTAATGGCTGCGAAGGGGGAAATCTAAGAACAAAGTCTTCGCCTCCAGCCCAGGCGCCGGGGAGAGGGAGATCCGGCAGCAATGAGCCCAGGGGCTGCTTGGCACTGATGTCTCCGTGCCTCCCCCCGGCGGGAGGACTGAGAATCCCTGGCTTACCTTCCTGCTCCTCCCCTGGGGCACAGCCGAGCGAGTGAGCGAGGCAGGGGCGGCAGAGGGGCAGCGGCTCCCCCGGGGGTGCTTTGAAACTGACTTCGAAACTTCCACGGGGCCAGGGCTCCCCGGCCCGCCGGTCGCACCCCGCCGCCTCCCCACCCGCCGGCGTTCCCACGGAGAGCCCGCTTGGCCGCGGGTTTGGGGGAGTGGGTGAATTTTTAAACTCTCCCCTGCCGGTGTCATGGCGGTGAAAGGGGCTGCGGCAGGTACCGGAATGTTGTTAGTAACAGCCAACGTTGGATCCCTCTTTGATGATGTAAGTAGCGCGGCTGTGGGGTGTCTGCACACCGGCGGGGAGGGAGGGAGGCGGGAGCCCAGGTTGTCGCTGCCGGGGGCGTTCCTGGGTCCCAGCTCGCCCGTGCGGCGCCAGGTCCCCTGAGCCCTTGGCCGGGCTGCGCGGAGGATGGTCCCGGTGCATCTCCCCGGAGTGGCTCAGAAGAACGAGCAGGATCCCAGGCAGCACTTCCTTGGTGGGTGGGTTTTGCCCGGTCCTAGTGCCCTGCCGCCCGCCGGTGAAGGGGGTAGGAGCTCAGAGCGCCCCGAGCCCGGGGGCGGGCTCTGCACGGGCAGCACCGGCGCTAGGGCACTGCCAGGGGGAGCGCAGACCAGTTGCAAGGTTCGTGCTCGTCCTCTGAGCCACTCCGGCGGCGGGAGGGGCCTGGGGAAAGGGCTTTGGCTCCAGCTGCCTCACCGGTGCGGGGACATCATCTCACCGTCACCGCTCCCAGCGCGTCTGGGCGGCTCTCACTGGCCGGTGGCGGCGGGTCCCGCACGTACAGCCGGGCCGGGGTCGGTCCTGCCTGCCGGGCGTGGGAAGCGACTGCCTCCGTGCTGCTGCAGCCACCGCTTCCCCGCACGCCCTGCCTCGGGGCTGGGGAAGCCTCCCAGCCTCCGCGCAGCTCCGCTGTTCCCCTCCCTCCCCGTTCCCGGCAGCGTGCCGCAAATATGTGCAGCAGCACCAGGCTGGTAGTGAGGGGCTAGCTAGCCTCCTGCCTCCCCACCCCGCCCTCCCTGCCTGAAGCAGGGCCCTTCCTTGCCAGGGAATGGGGGAAGGATTCACTGCTTCCCATGCATCCTCCATTCCTAGATAGAAAACTGCTACGTCTGCCTCTGAAGACCCCTGATAGGCAAATCCACCGCCCCAAGGCTTGCTCGTTGGGGAAAGTTTGTTTATCAGCCGGTTAGCAACAGTGTGTCATGTTCACTCTGTGCCCTGGTGACTTTGTTGTGTTTTTTTTCTTGTTTATACACGGTCCCTGAGGACTGTATAAACGAAGTAGACTTCCAAATCTGAAATGCCAGGGAAAAGGTGGTAGCTGTCCAGTAGGGCTTTGCTGTTAGAGAAACTGTTTCAGTATGAAAGGAATATAGGCAAGAGTGTGTTAGTGCTTTTTAATTAGAAACTACTAATCGGAGATTGACTCTTGTTTAAAGGATTAGCCATGCTCATGTGCACTCACTCCTCTACACTTAAGCCTTCAGAGAGCTCTGTGCATCTCAGTGAAACTGCTGTCAAGCAAAAGTAGTTTTCCTTTAGATATCTCTTAGAATCTCTCTAATTATACATATATTTTTAAAACCAGAAGGGCTTGGAGTGATATCAGTCCTTAGTTGCATCTGAAGAAATGGGTTTTTTACCCACGAAAGCTTATGGCCAAATATATATTAGTCTTTAAGGTGCCACCAGACTCCTTGTTGTTTTTGTGGATACAGACTAAAACGGCTACCCCCTGATATCAGTCCTTAGGTTTTCTGTGTCCTACAGTCATTAGACTTTACAAAATGTCACCTGTGGTGATGATCGTGTATGATAAATCGGTTTTTATTTAGCTAATATAAGTATTTACTAAAATACAAAAATAAGGTGTTACACTTTTCCATAAAATTTGACTACTTGTTCATTTTTAAATGCCATTTTCCCCAGCATTAGTGTATTTTATGTCAGCTGTTTTGTTCTCCTACCAGTAAATTTGTAAGTTGAATATTTGCTGAAGGTGGACTTTTGTTTCTTTGGAGGCCTTAGTTAAAATGTCAAGATAGCCAAAGTAATTTAGTCTGCAGCAAAATGCTTTCTTGGAATATTATTTATACTCTTCTAAGTTTTCATTTTTTCTTAACATATCAAGCAGTATATCATGATCTCAGTCAGATGATACAATTTCTTAGCTGTGGTTCTGAAGCCTCAGAAATAAAACCTTACATTGCTTTCATTCTCACAGGGGAAAAAAAAAATTCTATTGCATTCCTTCCAGTAATTTCAAAAATGATGCAACGCAGCTGTACTCCTCCCCCCCCCAAATGTATTTTTACATAGTGACATGAAAATATGATGCTTTAATTTTTGTTTAGCGAAATACATTATTCACAGAAATATTTTATCCAGAGGAAAAAATATTATTGTAACACTTCACATGTCTAGGATTAAAGCAAAGAGGAGAAATTTTGTTTGTAAATTGCCAAAAGTTAGTTATCAAAATGCATAACAGCCAGGACTGATCCTGCAAGGACTTGCATGTATGGGGTGAATTCTAGTCCCTCTGAAGTCAATGGCAAAGCTCCCGTTGACTTTTTGGTGAAACCAGGCTTTCACCCACGGTGAATGGAGTACTCCCATTGCCTCACACTTCTTAAAATCGAGAACATATGTAAGTCGTTGTAGGATTGGGGCCCAAGATTCTATTAGCTGAAGATTGTAGCCAAGTGAACTAACATTAGATTTGCCTCATGTTCATGTGTTATACGCAAATCATTGTTTAAGTGTACCTCAGTGAGCAAGTTCCAGTTTTTTGTAGTTGTCATAATTAAAGCAAGTGGGATTCACCATTCATGGGACACTGATAGATGCCTGCTAAAGACCCAGTTAGTCTTTTAACTAACTTTATTAAAAAACACAGTTTGAATTCAGCCTAAATTTATTTTAAAATGTACATGTATTCAGTTTTGTATTATAAAAGGAATATGTACAAATTATGGCTTTGATCCTTCATACTTTTACTCAGGTGAATAACTTTATGCAGATGGGTAGTCTCACTGAGTTCAATACAATTATAAATGTGTATGTGTTTGCAGGACCAGAGCCTGAAGTGGCAAAGTAATTAGTCTTCGCATGCTTTCTTTCTTCAAAAAAATACGTGCTAGTGTGTTAGTTTAGAATGTGTTGTGTAAGTTCTCCTATTGCTGGTAGGGATTTTATCTCTGACTTTTGAGCACTGTCATTAGGTAATCCATGTCTTCAGATTTAGTGACTGCCTGGAAGCTCTTAATTTGTGTTGTAGGAGGTGTTAAAATTCTTAGAGGAACTGAAGCATTTTTATTATTCATTGCAATGTACATGACCCCAAAAAGGAATACGTTGGTTATTCTCTTAAAATGAAAACAAAAAGAGTTTCTACAACAAGAAGAAGAAAGGGTGTTTTTGGATAAGTCAACTTTAAGGTGGGCAATAAAAAGACTGGCCTGAAGTTTCTTGATTTCTGGTTTGTTGCTGTTGGAATTGTGCCTAAAAATTGACCAGTCAGGTTTCTGGAATTGTCAGTTTCATTAAAGTATGATGAAGTTGAAATTAGACTGGTTTGTGGTTTTAAGCTTTTAGGTTCCATATTTATGAGTTAGCAAACGACTGCTTTTGATTGCTGGGATTTTCTTATTTGGGAAAAGAATAAGAATCTGTTCTGTGGAAGAACCTGTGACATGAACTGATTGCACTAGCAAATAAGTACTTATTTTTGGTAGATTTCACCCATTTAATATATATTGACTTTAAGATTTTTTGCCTGAAAAATGCTTTGCAGTGCCCATATTTCTTTTATTCCAAGTTTTTAATTTTTACATTAAATCTAACTCATCTCTGTACATTTTATTATGATATTTCTGGGCCTCAAAATGTAGTGTCATTCACTTTTAATGATGCAACATTGAAATTGGAGGTGGGCTGGAGGCTTGAATCTGAATATTCTGTGCAACACTGTACTGGGTTCTTTGGCTCATTGGTGTGTAATTCATCCTTGTGCAGAAGGCTTGTGCAAGGCTTTACACACTTTAAACCCCATATTAAGGTTGCCCACGGGAAACTGCACTCAGAGGCCTTGAAGCCCTGTGTGCTGCCCTTTTGAAACTAGCCATGAATGAGGGCAAGCTGGGGGGAGGGTCTAGGAGATCTGCAGTTATCTGGATCTGCTGGCCCAGGCTGCATCAAGGTGTTGTGGCTGCTCTTCCAGCCTTTAGACGAAAAAGTGTGTGGGATTTCTCTTCCCTCTGTATCACCCAAATAAACTGTGATTACACAGGCATTATGGTAAATAACTTTCTCTAATTTGTAGTGTTGATGTTGCTGTGCAGCAAAAATATGACTCGCACTCCAAATAAGGTTATTAAGATTGGCGCTGCTTACTTGGCTGCTACACATTTATTTAGTACCGTACTTGAAAATATTCCCCATTTGAAACCAACTTTTCATAGTGGAGCAGATTAAAATCTTTTTGCATGGTAGATAGGTCATGCCACCCAACTGAAACTTTCTTCATCTCAGATTAGTAGTATTGCTATTTTGGTTACCATTTTAGTAATGAATGAGAATCAGTATCTTGTGCCCTGGTATTGGGGAAAGTAACTTCTCATAACTTACTGATTTGCTCCCTTCAATCATTTGCCCCATTTATAGCAGATTATTCATGAATGTGAGTTAGTATTGCTGGGTTTAACAGTCATGAGTGACTGAATTGGGTTTCTTTACCTCTCCTTCTCCCCAGTCATTGGGACTATTTCATTAGAAGCATAAATGCAATATTTCTGAGATTTACAAATATATTTTACAGATATGTTGATGCATACAACTTGCTTTATGTTCTTATATACTGTACTTAATCATTTAACACAAGTCTCACTGTATAAACATTTCCTGTTTTTATCACAGTATACAGTTGCTGACAACAGAAGATGGGAGTTCAGGTTACCTGTGGGCTACTGCCTTTTTTCTTTTTCCCCTTTGCTTTTTCTGCTGCACTTACACAACTTCACATCTACCTGACAATGGAGAGACCGTGTTTATAGTAGCAAATAAATTCATTTGACTGGCACATTTGTGTGTCTATTGTGTATAGTTTTGATTACATTAAAATTATAGTTAATATGCTTGCATCAGCTTTAGTGGTGTGTGTTTTTTGTCTAGGTTATTTTAGTACACTATTAAAAGAAAACACCTGTAGCTGATATGCTGAGTAGCCAGTTTCTACTTGTGAAGAGTTTTCACTAAAACAT